AAAAAAAAAAAAAAAATTTTATTTTTTTTTTTTTTTTTTTTTTTTTTTTTTTTTTTTACAAATCATAAAATGTTTTCTGTGTAGCGGTCTCTGTTGACTTCCATCTTAATTGAAGATTGCTTGAAATATGAGATACAACTTTAGAAGTGACATAGATCCGTACTGTTTCTTTTTCTTTGGAACCAAATGCAGGAACTGTAGGATAAGAAGAAACACACTGAGTGGGAAATGGCTCACAAATTTATATATATAAAAATACTGTAGCATTTATAAAAAGGTGCTGTTGGAAGCTAATTAAARCTTGTCCAACAATCACTGGTAAAAGGAATTAAATATATCAATCATGGGAAGTTGGTTTTGCTTTTATTTAGATCTCCTGTGAGCCTTTTAAGTATTTCAATATAGCTAATACCAAAGAGCCAATTTATGTTGTGCACAGCTTGCTGCCAAAATGACTGTGGTGGTTTAGGGGTTGCTATTCAGCTGCCAAAGGAAGCAGCACCAGTAAGGATGAGAATTAATGGAGTGCATGGGGCCTCTCCTGCTCTGCCCACCACAGCATTGCCAACAGTGAAGATATGCCTGTGGCCTTGCATGCCCTTCATCCATAGGGATCAAAAAAATATCTTTGGGATTTGATTTAGAGACTTTGAAAGTGGATTAACTGCTTGGTGACTCAGCAATTAGTTGTAAACAAGCTGTGGATGAAAAATAAGGCAGCGTCCACCCTGAACGGATGTGGATGCTTAGCTCATCTTCCTTTTCCAGCACTACAAAACAGAGTGGGTTATGCAAGCAGTCAACAGAACAGCAAAAAGTCTGCAGTTATACAAGGCACCTGCATGTGCATCCTGAATTGTGATTCTGAATGCTTGCATCCACTTCAACAGAGAAATTTGGTGTGATCTCAGTCTTTTAAAATGACAACTGACTGTGCAAGACTGCCATTTGCTCAGCAGATCTTGTCTTTCTTGCATTGGTGGTCATCGACATTCAGTGGCTTTTTCTTCTACTGGTGCTTCTGGCACTACAGCTCTATGAATATCCATTACAGAATCAATCCAAAGTTATTTATGATAGTTATAATATGCACTAATCGGCAATTTCTTATATCCAGGTATTTTCACCAATATCTATCAAAGAATGTTACAGTTCCATACATTTCAAATACCAGTTTTGCAATAGTCAGATTACTTTCCACCAACGCACTTTGTCTGAACGATTAGTGTTGCTGCATCCTCCATGGGCATCTCTGTCTTCTGCTTTTCTTCTRTCTGTTAGTTCAGAAACCTTTGGAGCCTCTTGCACAACACACTTTTCCTTACCTTCCAGCTTCAGTAGGTCTCCTTGGCAGCAACAGTCACTTGTATGTTATCTGCTTGTGTTAGGGTGGCAAGCAGATAGGGTTAGATGATGAGACAAAGTATAATTGCTTGATGATCTAWCTTTCCCTATTTTATGGAGGGAAGTAAGCTGTCTAGTCTGCTGTAACACTTTGTCTAGGAAATTCTCAATTTTTGAAATTAAGCAACATCAACTAATTAGGTTGCTTTTTTTTTTTTAATTTCCCTTTTTGTGAACATGTATCTCGTGTCACTAAACTTTGTTCTGGGACAGCTCTTATGAGCTGGCAACATGCAGGGCAAGAAACTCTTACCTTTGTCTTCTACATGTATTTTCTAATGATACTCCTTAACAAACGGATTTTCGTCTTGCCAGAGTTGTTGCTAACACTTTATGATAGGTTGAGAATTTGTGCACAGGTCTGTACTGCTTATATTTCGGTGTGAGACCCTTTTGGTAATACTTTGATCCATCCCTAAGAGGGCAGATAATCACGTGTGTATGAACACATATGTTTTCTTATCTTCTTAGAAGTTAACCACAAATACTGAGATGTAAGTAGATAATCTACAGCTGATCTCATAAGAGTGTTCCTGTGTGCCCCCATAATTATTATAGCTTATTTCTTAACTTACCTTTTAAGGCAGCTTTTATTGTGAATGACTAGCAGCTTTCTTTCCGTGGCCATCCAGGCCATGAACAGGTTTTCTTAGCTTCATGTAATTTAATTTTGTTTGGAGAGTTTCATTATTATTATCATTATTACCTGCAGAGTTATCATTTGGGCAATGCAATACTAAATGGAATGTGATAGAGCTTCTTTTCTGTTTTGTAGATATGCACTAGTGTTTATGTAGAAAGGAAAACTTAAAGCAGTGAATTATTTACAATGGCATACATTTATTTATCTCACCTAAGCAATGAGGATGAATACTCTTTTCAAGAGTTAAAAATCCACTTTTACAATATTACTTTTTCCAAACTTATATAGTCATTATTAAGAATCTTTAAAGGTTATTTTTATTCTCTTACTATCCTTCTTAAATTTATATGTGAAGATCCCTTTGCTTGTAGAGGTAACTGATTGAAACTTTGTACCCTTTCCTTCATATTAGTTTTATTAAAATTTTCTTATTTAGTGACAGAATTGTTACTGAACAAACAGCTAACTGATGAAAGGTTGAGGAAGGGGGGGTGGAAAAAATCTTTGCTTTAGGTTACTGGCTTACTGTGCCTAGGCCTGTGGTTAGTAATATAGCACTTTGCTGAGTTGCATAAAGATGATGTGGTTGGAAAGGCAGGAGAGAGGGAATGAGTTGCTGCCTGTCACAAGAAATTTATGGGGCGTGGGTAACATCTGGAAGCGATCTAAAGTAGTGCAGTCTGCCACAAAGAACTAGAAATAGCTCATCAGTCAGATTAGAGGTTTGTATCTTGTGATATTTGTACTATTTATCTGGTTTAAATCTGAGTTGYTTTTAAAGTGTGTTAGAGACTTGTCTGCTGTGAGAGACTGCTCAGATTATTTRAAGTGATTTTTTTTTTCTTCCTTGTTTGTTTCTTAAAGGGAAACAGGAGCTGCAGGCCACTTGTTTAAGCCCAGTTTGCACCAGGGATTTGRTTCCATGAGTACCTGTGTTGAGCTACCAACTGGTTACTTGGAAAAGGAGAAGCTCTTGCTCCCYTTACTCTGTGGAGACTCACGCTTTTCCAGGAGCTGATTCATCTCACTCTTTTTTTTAGGTTAACTTTCTACTGCTTAGTTTGAGAGGATAAGTGGCAGCAAGACAGCGATGTAGGAGAAACAGGTCTTTAGCCATGCAGTGGTGAGCAGATTGGTTCACTCTGATAAATTGTTCTTTGAGCAGGTAAACCACTCCAGTAGTTAGCTGCTGCCAGACTGGGTGGCCCACATTGCTACTCCTTGTCCTAGCTGAAAACTTCTGCTTCTGAGCTGTAGTTGGGGAAATATAAGAACCCTTCTGAGTCAGAAGGTGACACTCTTCGGGAAGCAGTGATTCTACCTGTCAGAGGCAACAGCAGTAAATCTAAATGGGTATCAAAGCTGAATTCTGAGAGCAAATCTGAATCGGGACTGCTACTTTAAGACTCTTCCTCTTCCATCTTGCTTGAGAAGCAGTGGTGCTTTTGCAAACAAGTGAGGAAGTGATTCATAGACTGACACAGTGACTGATGGAAGCATCAGTGCAGGGAATGGGACTGCAGACTGAGTTAGACTGGTTTAAGTGGTTGTGGATCCCTGCTTTGTGGCTGTAGCCTGTCAGCAGACAAATCTCTCCTAGTGGAAGGGAGAGCATGGAAGCTTCACTGGTAATGACTCTAGTGCACCTCAGAATTTGCAGATGACAACTAATCAAGCAAAAATGAATCATTCTTTATTAGACTGGTTTCATGAATTTCTTTCCTTGGGCCTCTCACAGCAGGGTCACAGGAGTTAGAAAGGGAGAAGGAAACAAATCTGCTTTTTTGATTAAAGTCATTAAATTGGCTGTGCAATTTCATTGGCTGTGCTATGCTTCCTGAGCTTCTTTCTGAATTGATATGAGTGCAGCCTGACACTGAAAAGAACAATTTCGCTTTCAATACGTTTTGTAGCCCTAATCTTGTGCCCATACTGACATTTTGGGTGAGGGTAGTATTCCACTGGATCAATTCCTTGCTTTGGCTCGTTGCATAACCCTCTGGGTGCAGAGGGAGAGGTTAGTCTTACCCGTTTTGGCTTGCTGAGCAGTGAAACAGATACTGGTGATGTAAGACAGGGAGGAGCTGAAGTGTGATTGGGCCAGGCAGAGGTAGGAAAGTCTGGCAGGGCTTTCTCAAGTGGAATTGGTTTTTGAGCGGCCACCAGATAAGTAGAAAGCTGCTCCTGCTTTTCCAGTAGCAGTAGAAAGTTGCTACTGAAGGTTGATGGATTTGGAACCAGCTCGGGCTGGTGTTTGGAATTCAGGACCCGAGGATAAAACACTGCTGTAGCCTGAGTTCTAGTTCACTTTCTATCACTGTCTGGTTACTGAGAAGTGGTCCTGGAACAGGCAGCCTCAAAGAAGCACTCTGCTCCCTTCAGAGCACATAATTCACCAATTCAACTTATTCCTAAGCAAGAATCCAGAGCTTTTGTTTACTGTATTGATTGCCTAAGTGTGCCCAAACTGTGTTCAATTCTTGTTTTAAGATATATATATATTTTTTTTCTTCTGGGAAAGATATAGCTTATATTAAAGCTATATTAAAATAATTGTGATAGGAAAATGGAGACTTGGTTAATAAATACCTAATTTAAAACTGTGCAGCTTCATATCTATCCCTTTTGTTTTCTACAGTTGATGACTTGTGCAATTAAGACCTGCTTAACTAATTTTCCCAGGGATTCTGCCTTGTTTCAGATATAAAATTAACAGTCCTAAATGAATGAGGACTAAGTGAATGCTATGTAGTCACTTTGTTCTTAGTACTTTGTATAGAATTCAGTGTAGTTACTGTATACCATTTGTATGCAATATAATCAGCCAGCACGCAGTGCTTAGTTGATCTTTGCAACATCCGTGTATGTTCCCAAAGTGGTTAACTGCACAGGACTTCCTGGGTGCCTCCTGCTGCAGGGGAGGCAAATTCTTTTTCTGTGACACAGCTTTGGGACTCTATCTGTGGGAGCAGAGTCCCTTCTCGAGCTCCAGGAATGTATGGGCTGCTGGGCTGCCAGCTGTGTTAATAAGAACTTTCTGGTTACAAACTTGCAATGTTAAAATATAAAATGTCACCAAAAYATCACCATTAAAAATTATAGGGGAAAAAATTATTTATAGCTTAAAAATAGATTGTAACTTAACAGTCACTCTATCTTTGTGTGCAACTACTTGAGCCGTTTTTCAGTCAACAGCAGTACAAAAACTTAGGGAATTTCCAGATATTTTTTTCCATAGAGTTCTAAAGTGAAAGGAATAGTGTTAAACAAAACAAGACTAATTTATTATTTCTGTTGTGACCCTTTAGATGTGTAAACTGCTTCAAAAAGGCCTGCAGGAAGGAAAGTGTGCAGTTTCTCAGTTATCTTGAGCCAGCTCCAGGCAGTGCTTGCATTGAAAGGGTCTGATCTGCCCTGTGCTCAAGTTAGTATTTGTGTTTTCACCTGAACGAAAAACACTGTCATGTGAGTGCTTCTGCTAGACACCTAGTCAAGGGTCACTTTTTTCCATTGAGTTTTGAGATATTTTTCTAATGTGTATAAGATACGTGCAGGCAACATTTGGTGAGTTGTGGGGTTTGTATTTATCGAATGATTCTGAAATAGTTTTCTAAGGTTAATGACAAAAGCTATTTTGGATTCTATTTCTGGACTGATTTATAGACKGTTTGTTACAAGTGAGGTGGTGATTATATTTTGTGGAGAGCAGCTCTATTTCAGTGGTGGTATCAAAGTTTTCTCTCTMTATATATAAAGAGTAAATTCTCTGAGTAGAAGAATTATTAGTATTTCTAGGTTCTTAAAAACCTTGTTTTGTGTCTCTGCAGCATCAGTATTCCTTCTAGCCTTCTCATTTTTTTGTTCCTTCCAGTGCTTTCTTCCCAACTCCTTATCCATGCCACGTTTTTCAGGTGCGCTATCTTTGTTGGGAGGCTGGGTGCAGCGTCTTCTCTGCTGCCTCCGCTCTGCTTGGGGACTCAGAGTTTGCTGCTGTAACCCAAAGTGGTGTACAGAAAGGAAAACTATCTGCTAAGGCTCATGCTGCAAACTTTGCCTCGAGCCATAGTGCTCTGCCAGTCTGAGCAGTTGATCTGCTGGCTGCTGCATTTCTGTTTCCTGTTTCACCCAGCTCTGGGGCTTGTCTGACCCTGTGTTGAGCAGTTTCTGCGGCTTTGTCACTCTTTCAGTCAGCGTGTAACCCAGTGGACAAGTGGAAGAGCTTGGACGACTTGTGAGGCAGTGTGGGGTAAATGCACGTGAGCAGGCTGTGGGGAAGAGGAGGAAAGCAGCAACAGCAATTGGCTTAGGCTGTTGGAATGGCTGCATCAGCTGAGGCATTAATTTCAGAGTGTCATCATTTTATTGCAATTGTTATTATTAAAATTTATTACAATTTGTCACAATCAAGGGCACATCTCATTTTTGTTAGATTTCATTGAAACTAGCTGTTGGTCTTGGCTTTCAAGAACAGATTGACAGATGGACGATGGTTATAGTTAGTTATATGGACTTGTTTCCTCATGAAATGCTCAAATTTTGAGAAGAAGTTCAGCACTTAAAAGATCATTGRCACCATATGCAAACCTCTGGCACGCACACTGCAAGTTGCAGCCTGGTGATTCTTAGGTCTTTGGTTGCTGTATTTTGTTACCAGAGAAGTCCTTTGGGATCAGTGGTTGCCTGGCTTCTAGCATGGCTAAAATAGCCTCATCTTGCCCTATGGATAAAGCAGAGCACAGAAGGAACTTGTATGTTACAGGATCATGTGTTCTATAATACAGGTCAGAGAGTTTAAATATATGTAATTCAAACATTTGATTGCAGAGATTTTAAAAGCTGAAAATGTGAAATTAGAGTTGGACTGGAATAATGACCTTCCAAGTAAAAAATAATAAGGAATTATAATGGTAAATATTGTAAGATTTGTAAGTAGATAGATGCTTATAAACCTAGATGACCTAAATACCCTGTCAACTGCATTAGCTGTTGCTTTTCTATGCTGCTACCTGCAGAAGGAACTGCCTATCTCCTGGGCAGTATTCGTGTGATGTGAAGTGGTTCCTACAATACAAAATAGTAGTTCACACAGCACAAAATTTGTTCCCCTCAGACATCATCTGTTGCCAACTGTGCCTGGCCTGTCTGGTCAGCCAGTAGTGAGGATTGTGCGTGGGAGTCTGAGGAGCTGCTCTTGGTACATGGAGAGGGCTGGGAGGGAGGCTCTGCTCCGTGGAGCTGCCTGGGGAGAAACCCCAAGGCCCTGGAGCAGCGGGGGAAGGAGGCAGAGTTGTGCGGAGGAGCGAGACCTCTAGTTCCTGCGGTGAGATGTGCAGTGGTGGCTCGAAAGCCTGCTAGGGAACTGGTCTCCATTATTTTTAAAGGCAGAAATACTTCTTAAATACRTAGAGTTGTATTTCTGAATAGTAAATACTTCAGTATTTTTTTGAAATTTGAAAGCTTTTATGTTATACAAAAACAYTTATACACTTAAGGGTGAGTAATCTGGTATTTCATGTCTTTGTAATGGATTTTAAACTGTATACACGTTTACTTCATTTTTTATTGGTTCTTAAAATTTTTTTTTGAATTTGCTTAAAACTTTTTTYCYTTTTTTCCCCTTTTTTAGGTGTTGGGAAATCATGTTTATTGTTACAGTTTACAGACAAGCGATTTCAACCAGTCCATGATCTTACTATTGGTAGGTCTGTTTTCCCTCCTCAATGCTAATGCACTGTTTTAAAGCATATATGTGTGTCTRTGTGTGTGTATGTATTTGTGTGTTGGGTTTTTTAATGCTGGTAAGCAGGAGAGTATGAGTTTGTTGTGCTGAACCATTGTAGGGTTTGTGCTGTGTTAAGACATCATTTATTTCTTTTATATGATGAGTATTTGTTAGCTAATGAAAATAAATTGAAGCCAGCTTCTTACTGGGAAAGTAACATAGCTATGAAGCTGTTCCAGTTGATTCAGATTATGCCTAAACTCTTTCTTTGGAAAAGCTAAAAGCTGGACATGAAAACAGGATTGGACAAGCTTAAAATACATTACTGTTTATATAAATGGAGTCTTTTCGTTAGAAATGTTGGAATGCTAGAATATTAGCCTAACTCTGAAGGCAAGTAGCAGATAACTAAAGGACTTAACTTAAAAAGGACTTAATTTAAGATTAATACACAAACTTACTATAAGATTAATACACAAACTTACTATGTGGGAAGACTAACTTTTTGGTGAAGGAGGACTGGAACTTGGAGGTATTTGCTACTTGGAAGGGACAGGACTTTCCCTCATTGTTTTTTTTTTTTTCGTGATTGCTCATTTGGATGAGAATCTGATATGAGGTATGATTTCATACTTGATACTAAAGGAATGAATTAATTATGAAAGGATGCCTTGCCTATGATCTGACTAAAACAGATTCTATGAGCTTCCTTTATGTTTTCACATAAAATATGAGGAATAGTGTGTAAATATATATATATTTTGGACGAGATTAGTCTTCAGATCAGTTTTGCTCTTGAGCATAACGGATACTACTACTTATAGAGGCTACAGGACCTTTGAACTCCCTTATATGTATATCAGGTGGTTTGATTACAACCTCTGTTTCTAGTGTGGCAAGCCTTGCACCCCTTGTGTGTGACAGGCTGATACAATTCAAATTAATACACTCACTTCAGTTTTTAAATATTCCTGAGGTTTTTGCAGGAGATAGGCTGGTYGAGTGAAGAGCCTGAGCCCTCTATGGAGACAGGACTTACTGCCACCTCTCCTTACCAGCTCATGTATCACCTTGTGTATTATTCCTGGCCTTGGCAGTCCTGCCGCATATTTCCATTTCTCTCCACATGCTGGGAAGGGGTTTCACCACCTTCAAACTTAGCTGAGTTTCCACACAGCACATGATCAAATGGGTTGGTATTTTCTAGTTTATGTTGTTCTGGTTTGTTAGAATTTGTGGGTTAAGAAAAGCTTACATTCTCCAAGCTAACTTATATCAGTCTATTACAAGCATTTTAACAAATAGGAATGCAGCTTCTATCTCTACTGCCAGTAACTCAGGAGAAAGAAAACCACAATTGGGTATTTTGGATATATCCTACCATCTAGGGTTTTACAGAATTCATCCAAAAAAATGGTATACCAGTCTAAAATGTGAGCTCTAAATTTTAGAAAATTCAGGGAGAATCTCAACTTGTCGTGTAACATCTGCCTGAGATCAGTTTCATTTGGGAACTTCTGTTTAGCTTTCCCTCTATGTTTAGGACATACCCTTACTCCAGACCTGAACAGCTGCTTTTCCTCGTGTTGTTTTGTTTGCTTGTGGGTGTGTGGTTTTTTGTTTTGTTTTGCTTGAGATTCACAATTTTCTCTCAGGAAGAATTTTATAATAGGGTAAATATTATTTCTGTGGGGAACACTAAACTAAACASTTGGGTGATTGCTAGTTTTATAGTTTTAAATCAGCAGCTCTGTATCTCTGCATTTTGAGATCAAGTAATAGCTGCAGTGTTGATACTTCTGGCAGCCCAAGGACCCAAGGCTTTGCAAATGATTTCCGAATACTGTGCTTTGTGTGTTCCCTCCTATCTTCTCTCCTACCCTCCCCCATTGGTAGCTTTTTTCCACATTTTTTGCAAGTTGTTTAGGCCCTTAAGAGAATCAATTTTCTTTGGCCACAGCTTATGCTTGGATACAGTAACACGTGTGTTGYGAAGTGGTTTTGGTGAGTTCCGCCCCCCGCTCCAGAAAATGACTTTTTCTGCAGAATTCAGCACTGTGGCCCCCTCCCCCYCCCAAACCAGCTTTTAAAGTGCCATTTGGGGTATCTCCAATTCAGAACTATTTATTTAAAGGAATCCAAATCTAGACAGTGAGCAATATTAGACAAAATTTAAGCTACTAATGTGTTGGATTTTTTTTTTTCTTTTCAGAAATAATGGTATGTGAAACAAATTAATTGAAACTTGATAGCGTTATAAATATGCTTGCTATCTCTAGGCATTTCTCAGATTTTAACTTGCTGTAGTAATAGACTGAAATTTATGCCTAATTACTGTTAATGATCTTAAAGCTGCATTAAAAGATGGATACAAAAGGCTGAATTTTAATTCACTTTGCTTACTGGAAACAAATTTGTTCTGAGTTATTACTTTTGATCTTTAACTATCTGGAATTTAGAATAGAGTTTTAATTAAGAAATTGATAGAATTTATCTTGTAGAAGATGGTGGTTGTGTGCTCAATTTATTATTTTGTTGAATAAATCTAGAATTAAATCTTCTAAACTACCTTTAGCAATGTAATGTTAACAGACTGCTGAATGTGTGACTTGGTTTCTTGTTTGTGCTGAGATCTGTGGGGTTTTTTGTTTGTTTTCTTTGAGTTGCAGCTATTAAGTCTTTTGGAAAATATTACAGGAAATACCTTCTTTACACTTTAGTTAACATGTTCTTAAAGTAAAAGTTTTGAGAAGTTAAGACTTTCTTCCTTTCTTCCCTTTCCTTCCTTTCTTCCTTGGAAAAATTTCCAAGTCTCTGAAGCAGCTGGAAAAGTGACAAAATCAGGTTGTGTACATAGGAAATTTTATCCTTCACAATATTGGGCTAACTTTAACAGGTATTTACTTTGATAGTAGTGCAGATTTTTCTTTGTGATATGTCCTAATAATTGAATCTTCTGTAATGTCTGTTCAGGTGTAGAATTTGGGGCTCGAATGATAACTATTGATGGAAAACAAATAAAGCTTCAGATATGGGATACGGTAAGTAACAAAACATGAAAACGTTTTAAGCATGTGTCTCTGCTAAGAGTTTCTTTATTGTTCTAGTTAAGTTCTCTATGATCACTGTCTATGTGAGAGTATATTCTCACTCTTGCAGCTTTCTTTAGTTTCTCTAAAGACTRAATATTTTAAAATTTTCCTTTTTTGGTGTCATGTACTATTAAAATGGTGCAGTTTTCTACCATTTATAGTGTATCCCAACTTCTTCCTATAACTTTGTTTCTAAAGTTTCTAAAACTGAAATTCAYGCCTTTTTTCTGTGAAAATGTTTTCTCTATTGCAATTATTTATATTTCCTCTAAGTAGTCTCTTTCTGTGCATTTATGCAAGGTCTGCTTGATTTAATTCACTGTAGGGATATTGYGGTGTGTCTGCTGCCTTTAATCACTCATAGAATTAAGAGTCCTCTGGAGATCTATTTGCATTTCTGATGTAAAAGTAGAGTGAAAGATCAGTTTGTTTTTTCTTGGAAGACTGAAGAACTCAGGTTCACTGTAATCATGAATGTAGTGAGTACTTCAGACAAGCAAGGAAGGATTGGTAAATGTGTGAAGCTTCCAAAAGCACGGCAAACAAGGCAAAGGCCTGCGTGGTGCTGGTTCAGATTAAAAACATTTTTCACGTTAGCTGTTTAGCCTCGAGAACAGGAGACTGAGAGGGGATCTGATCAGTACCTGAGGRGAAAATGTAGGGAGGATGGGGCCAAGCTCTTCTCAGTGGTGGCCAGTGACAGGACAAGGGGCAATGGGTGTAAGTTGAAACACAGGCAGTTCCATCTGCCTGTGAGGAGAAACTTCTTCACTGTGAGGGTGACTGTGAGGGAACAGCCTACCCTGGGAGGCTGTGGATTCTCCTTCTCTGGAGATCTTCCAAACCCGCCTGGATGCCGCCCTGTGCCTCGTGCTCTGTGTGTCCCTGCTGGAGCAGGGGGGTTGGACTAGATGATCTCTAGAGGTGCCTTCCAACCTCAGATCTTCTGTGATTACAGAAGTGAGTTTTCTCCCTACCAGCCTTGCCAGTGGCTTTTCATGGGTGGGTAGGTTGCCTACCTCTTTGTCTGCGCTTGTTACAAAACAACTTTGAGGCCCGTCTTGATAGCTGTGTCTTTCCAAGGTGTCTACCTCTTCCTCGGGGCACGATTTCCTGGTTCTTTTTCCCAGAGTATTTTAGGAATCCTCCAGAAACTGACAGRTAGAGAAACAGCTGTAGCGTCATGTTTGTGCGTTTTGTATGGTAAATCAGTAGAGGGATATATATATTTAAAAGCTAAAACACTGCTTTTACATAAAAAAGGGCTAGTGTACCGTGCTTATTTTRCAAGTTCGTCATTTGAAATGGCATCTAGCACCTTGGAAGTTTGCCATGAAAAGGTGTAAAAAATATGGTCAAAGTGTGCTTGCTCTAGGCTGCTTCTGCCCTGSGCATTCATCCTGTTCCAGCTGCGGATTGCTGACTCCCGAGGTTGCTGATCACTTACAGATTCAAGAGAGAAGGAAATCTCTGCATGAACAGACATTTTGGGAGCAAACTTGTAGTGGGTAGTATGACCACGTGAGGACAAATCTGCTTTGGTCTTCGCTTCCTAAAGCTGGGACTGATTTTGTTAATACCAACTTACTAATTTCTGCAAATGCAGGCACTGTCTTTCATTATCTTTTGAACTGACTTTGTTCGTGTGMTGTTATTTGCTTCTTGATGAGAAATGAATTCAACTGTTTGAGTAGATTGTATTTTTCTTGGTGCCTGCAACTCAGTAGCTCTTTACAATCTCTTTGGCATCCTACTTGCCTGCAGAATGTCCCATAGCCACAGTTTCAATGGAATTGCTTTTGACTGTCAATTCTTCTCAGGTAGGGATTTTATTTGGATAACTTCTTTTACTGTATTACCTATAAATTAAAAATATTCATTGAATGCTTTCATGCTAAGTATGTTGCTTGTTTATGTCAGTTATTAATAATTTATAAATTTTAAGTGATAAATGACTTTATAATAGGCTGTAGTTAAAAAATTAATGGTGTGTAGCCTGATTTTTTTAAAACATGGGGTATTTCTAGTGGCTTGCAGGCTTATCTAAATCCAACTGACTCAATCCTGAGCTTAGGTACAAAGGTCTTGAGGCAGTACTAAGATAAGAAATATGATGAGGTGTTTTCAAGAATGTGTTTTGCTTCTGACTGTTAAGGTACACAAATACGTCAATAATGACCCACGGTTACTGATTCTCCAGTGTGCAACTGGGTTGAGCTTTTCCGGGAGTTTTTTTCTATGAGTAAGAGCTGCTAGCTCTTAGTAGTGCTATATCTGTATTTATGAAGTTGTTATAGTTTTTATCTCGTAAGAAAAAAATGATTTTGCAATCGTGTATTGCTATTACAGTATGTGAAGCATTTATGTCTTCAGCTGGTGCTGGATGACCTGCAGCACAGGCACCTCTCTCATTTAGTGCTAGTCTCTTGTATTTCCCTTTAATCCATCAGTGCACAAGAAGAATCTTGAACAGACCTAAGAAACAGAACTTGTTTCTGGTGGTTACCACTGAATAGGGGCTTGCTTTCTTAAGAGAATCAGTATTTAGTTCAAAATTTTCTGGACAGGTTTTTCTATGTAGGGTGATCAGTTTATGGTGTTTTAAAGAGATGAGAGCAGCTCCAAAGAAGACTATATATAGTGACAGTGGGAATATATGGAAGTTGTAGTGTGGCTTACAGTAGGGGGATGTGAATTTACCAACCTGATAGTTGTGACATCTGATTGCTCTTCTTTTGTACCAGAACTCAGGAAAATTTAGTAAAACACCAAATGAACAACTTGTTTTGTACAAGGAGCATGTTAGGGAAGCTAGCTGTGCTTACTGCCCTTCAGCTCTCATGTGGGACCACGCAAACTGCATTTCTTTTGYGTGAGAGACTCCACGAGAAGATCTACTCAAGGGACACGCTTGTCCATCAGCAGCTGCAGCTCAGCGTCTCATCCAGCACGCTGCCAGTCCGGAGCTCGTCTGCACTAGGAACCTGTGAAGGGCGGGCAGTTGGATATTGCCTGCTTGGTACCAACTGCTGTATCCTCAGCTCTACCTCTGTGTCACATGAGCAGGAAGTGTCTGCTCATTTTCCTCTCCTGTCTCCAGGCTGCTCCARGGCCTCCCTATTGCTGGACTTTGCAAGCTCACTGCTCTGTGTGCTGAGATGTGACATGTCAAGGGTTTTAGGCCTTTGAATCCTTGACTTTCATTTTTCCTCTCTGATCAGGAAGGGTAGGCATATTGGACTAAATTGTTATATGCCTTGTCTGTCTTGGTCTCTAGATTATTTCCTTCCCTGTAGTTYTGTTATTTTTGTAATGCCTTTCAGTAAGCTCGCAGACTGAGAAACATTTTTTTGTCCAAGCTGGGTAACTGGTAATTGCCTGCTATGAGGCATTCAGCTCCTGTTTTGTGGAAGAGTGTGATATTTAAGGTACTGTCAGTTGCCAAAATAACTTTCCTTTTTAGGGAACCAGCAGCGATCTGCAGAAGTTGGTAAGGAACAAAATGACAGTTCTGGGAGCTGTGAAGCTTTGTGGGGTTTAAACAAGCTGCGCAGATGGATGTTGTTTGTCCTGTGACAGTGTAACGCTGAGAATTATAAAAATCATTTCTCCTTGGAAAAACAACAGTGTTGCAGAGACAYGGGCTTCTTACCAGGCCGAGTCCATAGCCTTCATTTTGTGGTTGAGGGGAAATATGTCCCTGTTGTATTTACTGTTACTAAAAAGTCATTGCTAGCAGCTAAAAATAGCAGTAGTTAAAAGAAAAAATCACGTTCTATCAAATGGTAAAGAGACCAGTGATGATACTATATAATACTATTTATCTTCTATGGACTCTATTGATATGGCCAAGAATTTTCCTATTCGAAACAGTAAATTTGGAATTCCTTACTTTTCCTCATTTCATGGAAATCTGTGATCAGAATCATTTCTTTTTATTCGTTATTATGTTTTCATAACATCTTAGCTCTTGCAAGTGTGCTTATACCTCATGCGTATTAAGAAATAACTGTTCTTGTTTTAGTTCTCGTCTTGGAGAAAGAATCTTATCCCCAATACGGCAGCTGTGAGGAACAGATTATTCATAGGGAGGCTACATTTAAAACAAACAAGCAAAAAAAGCYACTGCCTCTAAGATTTCTGTTAAGCAAATAACAGAAACCATATCTTTGTTTGTTTTATAAGCAAATTGCAAGTTGTATGTTGGCTTACATACAGGTTAGCTTCTCATTAAATTAACACTGTTTGCTAGTAGGTGAGAGCTGGCACATAAGCCTGGGATGATAATTGTTTGTTTGATTGTTTGCTTTATTTCATTTTTTTCTGCAAGATTAAATATTAAAAGCAGGTACATCTTTGTTCCCTTAATCTGCAATGGGAGTTCTCCTAGGACTGGAATATTCAGCCTATTTGAAAATGCCTGGATAAGTCAGGTACTCTTAGGCATTTGCAAGCACTTTAGATTTAGAACCAAATAAAATTCYTTAGCACGTGACATGAGTTTTCATCTTAATGATACTGATGATGAGTAATTCTTTATTAATTGCTTTCCCTGTGTCGCTTTCTGCTTGCTGTGGTCCTCGGACAATAAACTCACATTCGCATGCAGCTGACGAAGCCGTTCGCAGGTTTGGCTCTCGAACCCACCCACCTGAAACAAGGTGGCTAAACCTAAAGGTCAAGTGGTGCACACTCAGTGCTCAAGGGATGATACCCACTACTGCTGGGAAGTGACATCAAGAACTTGCAGAAAATCAGTTCTGGTTCATGCAACTAGTTCAGTTGTTAACTCCCAGGCTGTGTTTGCTGCTGCATAGCAACACTATCTTATTTCTAGATTTATTGGGTGGGCAAAACTTGTTCATTTAGTGCTTAATCCTGTCAGAACTTGTCTAACGGGGCCATCATCTGAACTTTAGTGCCTGCCGCCAAGTCACTGTTCACATCCA